GCCCTATACACGAAATCACAGCTTCCCTATCTTCATCAACATTTAACAATTCCTCAAAATATTCCCTCCATCTTCCAATACCTCTAACTCTCCATTTAATAACTCTCCTCTCCTATTTTTAACTGACAAATCCATTTGTTCTCTAGGCTTTCTTAACTTGTTAATCTCACTCCAAAACTTTTTCTTATTTTCAACAAAATTTGTTGATAACATCTCACCCACTCTCTCATTTGCTCTCTTTTTACATTGCTTCACCACTCTCTTAACATCTCTCTTTTTCTCCATATACTCTTCCCTCCTTGCATCACTTCTACTTTGTAAAAACTTCTCATATGCTAACTTTTTCTCCCTTACTACTCTCTTCACATCATCATTCCACCAATCGCTCCTCTTCCCTCCCGCACCCACTTTCCTGTAACCACAAACTTCTGCTGAACACTCCAACACTACATTTTTAAACCTACCCCATATCTCTTCGACCTCATTGCCTATGCTCTCATTAGCCCATCTATCCTCCAATAGCTGTTTATATCTTACCCTAACTGCCTCCTCTTTTAGTTTATAAACCTTCACCTCTCTCTTCCCTGATGCTTCTATTCTCCTTGTATCCCATCTACCTTTTACTCTCAGTGTAGCCACAACTAGAAAGTGATCTGATATATCTGTGGCCCCTCTATAAACATGTACATCCTGAAGTCTACTCAACAGTCTTTTATCTACCAATACATAATCCAACAAACTACTGTCATTTCGCCCTACATCATATCTTGCATATATATTTATATATATATATATATATATATATATATATATATATATATATATATATATAATATATATATATATATATATATATATATATATATATATATACATATAAATATATATACGTATGTATATATGTTGTTGAAAATAATAAAAATTTTGGAGTGAGATTAATAAGTTGAGGAAGCCTAGGGAACAAATGGATTTGACAGCTAAAAATAAGACAGGAGAGTTATTAAATAGAGAGTTAGAGGTATCGGGAAGATTTAGGGAATATTTTGAGGAACTGTTAAATGTTGATGAAGATAGGGAAGCTGTGACTTCGTGTATAGGGCGAGAAGGAACAACATCTTTTAAGAGTGAGGAAGAGCCAGTTGTGAGTGTGGGGGAAGTTCGTGAGGCAGTGGGTAGGATGAAAAGAGGTAAGGCAGCTGGGATGGTGGAGGTGAATGTTTTCAGATATTTAGGAGTGGACGTGTCAGCAGTTGGGTCTATGAAGGATGAGGTGAATCATAGAACTAATGAGGGGAAAGGGTGGAGACAAAAAAAATTTGTCTGTGGAAGCAAAGAGGGGAATGTATAAGAGTATAGTTGTACCAACACTATTGTATGGGTGTGAAGCATAGGTGATGAATGTTGCAACGAGGGGGTGGCTGGAGGCAGTGGAGATGTCGTGTCTGAGGGCAATGTGTGGTGTGACTTTATAATGCAGAGAATTCGTAGTTTGGAAATTAGGAGATGTGGGATTACCAAAACTATTATCCAGAGGGCTGTGGAGGGCTTGTTGAGGTGGTTCGGACAAGTAGAGAGAACAGAACAAAACAGAATGACTTCGAGAGTGTATAAATCTGTAGTGGAAGGAAGGCGGGGTAGGGGTCGGCCTAGGAAGGGTTGGAGGGATGGGGTAAAGGAAGTTCTGTGTTCGAGGGGCTTGGACTTCCAACAAGCATGCGTGAGTGTATTTGATAGGAGTGAATGGAGACAAATGGTTTTTAATACTTGACGTGCTGTTGGTGTATGAGTAAAGTAACGTTTATGAAGGGATTCAGGGAAACCCGCAGACCGGAGATGGGAAGTACAATGTCTGCACTCTGAAGGAGGGGTGTTAATGTTGCAGTTTTATAACTGAAGTGTAAAGCACCCCTCTGGCAAGACAGTGATGGAGTGAATGAGGATGAAAGTTTTTCTTTTTCGGGCCACCCTGCCTTGGTGGGAATCGGCCGATGTGTTAATAATATATATATATATATATATTAATATATATATATATATATATATATATATATATATATATATATATATATATATATATAATATATATATATATATATATATATATATATATATATATATATATAAATTTTCAACAAACCGGCCGCATCCCACCAAGGCAGGGTGGCCCAAAAAGAAAAACGAAAGTTTTTCTTTTTAAATTTAGTAATTTGTAAAGGAGAAGGGGTTACTAGCCCCTTGCTCCCGGCATTTTAGTCGCCTCTTACAACACGCATGGCTGACGGAGGAAGAATTCTGTTCCACTTCCCCATGGAGATAAGAGGAAATAAACAAGAACAAGAACTAGAAACAAAATAGAAGAAAACTCAGAGGGGTGTGTTTATACATATATGCTTGTATACATATATGTGTAGTGTGACCTAAGTGTAAGAAGAAGTAGCAAGGCGTACCTGAAATCTTGCATGTTTGAGACAGACAAAAGACAGCAGCAATCCTACCATCATGTAAAACAATTACAGGCTTTTGTTTTACACTCAAAACATATATAAATATATATATATATATATATATATATATATATATATATATATAATATATATATATATATATATATATATATATAATATATATTATATACATATATATATACATTATTGTACCCACGAACGAGAGGTACTGATCAATAACAACACTGCGACTAGCCAAGGAATCGAACCCATGCTGCTTTGGCCCGTCTCATGGTGAGCGAAAACTCATGACGCTCTAGTCCACGAAACCACACAAGTCGCACTATGCCCCACTATGCGAATAATTTTTCGGGATACGAACAGTCTCTCGATCGATTTTTTGCTTCTGGATACGAACGAAATTTTAGGATGCGAACTTCCCCCCTCAAGGTAGGTTCCTTGGTGAGGGGCTCTTAATCAAGGGAATTGGATCTGTGCTCCACTTCCCTAAATTAATAATAATAATAATAATAATAATAATAATAATAATAATAATAATAATAATAATAACAATTATTATCATTATTGTACATAGGTACTAATAATAATACACTGCAGCAGGCCTGTTGGCCCATACTAGGCAGGTCCATCACAATCCATCCCACTAACAGAATATTTGCCCAGCTCAGTTTTCAATGCTACCCAAGCAATAAGCTTTGATAATTCTATTTACTTATGTGTAGGTTCCACTCACATCCAACCCCTCTCACTCATGTAATTATCCAACCTAAATTTGAAGCTACCCAAGGATTTAGCTTCGATCGAACCTTGGGTAGCTTTAACAAGAGATTGGACAAATATATGAGTGGGTGGGGATGGGTATGCTTGGTGTCGTGGGTACTTAATAACATTAGAAAGGAGGAACACTGCAGTAGGCCTGTTGGCCCATACTAGGCAGGTCCTTCACAGATCCAACCCACTAACAGAATAAACGCACCCAAGCAATATGAGTTGACAATTATATTTACTCGTCTTGACTGTGTGCTGATGGAGATACAGGAAACTGACATCGAAGAAATGCTGAACACTGACAATGATGCATCTGTTGTACATTCCTTGAGTGATGGTGAAAGTAGATTAATTGTGATATATAAATAAGCTGTAGAGTTGATATTAGCATTATATTGAAGTATTTTGTCTTGCCTCCTAAGAGCAGGAATTCTGCTGGAACGGATTAATGCCATTTTGATTAATTTAAATGAGGAAAACTGACTCAGCATACGAACAAATCGGGATACGAACGAAGTCACTGAACGGATTAAATTCGTAAGCCGAGGTTCCACTGTATATATATTCTCTAGGGAATCACAGTTAGGTATACTCGGATGTGATTTCATTCACACACACACACACATGTATATTTGCATGGATGTAACAGTTCGTTTATAAACAAGAGAAACGTGACTACGTTGCAAATGTATTGAAGCGCCAGAGTGTGAACCAAGACGGTTCACACTATCCAGGATGTCCATCAGTGGTAGTGTCAATGGCTTATCATGAGCCAGACACGCCCCTTCATACACGCTGTCTCCACTAACACCATCACCTCCCTTCTCCCTTGCTGCCACCATCACCAGCGATCACCAACAGTCTGGCTGGTCAGAGATTAGCAGATGGTTATTAAGCCTCAATCACATCTTGCCCTGAATGACTTTCACACGTTTAGCGCTTCGTGAAATGCAGTTCAGAATAAAATACCATCACCAGCATTGCCGCCAAACCTGATACTGTTGCTACATAAACTTTACCAATGTTTCTGTCACAACTTCTACTGCCACTACGGATGCTCCTCCATAACACACTTGAACCAAAGGAGAGTGGCAAACTTTATGCAACAAGTAAATGCTGCATGATTCTCTCTTCACAGTGTATCTTCACGTGACAGTTGGACCTTGTAGAAGCATTTTCACGCAGCAGTTAGTTCTTATAGAAGTCTTCGCCTTACAGCTGGTCCTTCTATAAGTATTTTCTCGTCATAGCTGGCTCTTGCAGAAGCATTTTCAGGTCGCAGCTGTCTCAGTATCTTCAGGTGACAGCTGGTTCTCGGTGGAGTGTGTTCAAGCTCATCCAGTAGGTTCGTTGGTCCAAATAATCAGGCAATAAAATCATGAGAAGGTAAAACAAGGCTCTTAGAATAGGTAGTTTCATGTTTCATCGCACAAATATAGATGTGTTAATTCCGACAGATTGTGGATGAAAAAATCCGCCGGTGGAGAAAAGCCTCATTCAGTAGTATCTTGATTGTGCAAATGTGTCTTATTCCATCGTCTCAGAGTTGTACTGTAGAAAGGTAATGTCATAGGTAATAGCTGTTGCGTCCTACTCACACGTTAATATAACAATCAAAATTAGCGGATGGGGGATCGTTTGTCTTCCACTCTTTGGTGTTGAATGATCCACAGTGGTTTAGCGCTTTGTGTATTTTAATGCAGTAATACAATGTAATGCATCTGTACTCGGCAAATTAATTTAAGCTTCCTGTGTTTTTACAGACAAATTGCTGTTCGTATGACGTGGACTCGTTCTCGTCATCCGTCGCTCCCTCTGACTGTCAAGTCCTTCTGATGACGGATACTGAAGGAAATGCTATCCTCGGCAGCCCTCGACCGCATGGACACAATGATGATATGCAAAGCGCACCCGCAAACAACGATGGACGAACTAATTTTCTAAACACTTCTACAGAGGACGCGAAGAATTCTGACTTCAGAGATGGTGACATAAATTATGTCAACAGCACCCCTGACCGTGTGAACATGTCTAGGTGGGCGAAGAGAGGCCGCAAAGAAATGCTTTCAGAATCTGTAATTATTAAAACATCGAAGGTCCCCACCCTAGAAGGAAGGATATCTGGTGAATCGGATAGCTCAAACCGGAATGAGAGGCTTGCTTCACCAGAATCTCTAAGCTCGGTTGCTCCAGAACGCAGCGCAGGCAGAGGTAATAGGAGACTTTCTGATAATTTTAATATTAATACGAGAAACTCACTTTACGGATCGTCAAATATCGCTATGTCACGTGTCAAGAATTCTTTTAACCTCTCGGATTGTTCACTGATGAACCCAGGGTCAGCCCCTACTCTCAACACTGCTCGAGATTTCAATAGTGAAAGTGCCACATCAAATACTACTGGTGTGGATGTACTAGAAAGTGCTATACCAAGTACTTCAGGTGTTGGTGTGCTAGACAGCAATCATCAAGATACTGAGTTTAAGAGAAATAATTTCTCAAGGAACTCTTCCAGTTTCCAGACTTCTGTACAATTACGTAATAAAACGTGTGGAAATGAAAACATGCTCACAGCCTGGCCTTCCTCGCAGCTAGATCTTGTGAAAAGACGCAGTGCTGAGATTTCTGAACTTCGTCATGTTCTAGAGGATAAGATCAAAGGCCAAAACCCACGCTATAGCAGCCTTAGCAGCATCATAAACGGGTCCAGTGGGCGCAGGCTTAAATCGGAGCTTTTAACCAGTAACAAACGGTCTTCAAGTGTATATGGACACTTGCATAGAGACAACGTACGCCAAGAAAAGGATAAAGTGTCGTCTAGCTGTCTGCAACGAAACGATTATAGTGTCACCTCCAGCGCAGTTCGTCTCCGACAAGACAATAAACAACCAGCATCTTCCACCTCCAGGAACTCCCAGAAGCTCAAATACCTTATGAATGATCAGAAAAAGTCTTCCCCATTCAGTGATAAAAAGATCAACGAACCTCTCCTCTGTCAGAGGTGTTCCAGTCCAATCAATAGTAGCCCACGCCAGGTTCCCCAAAAAAATATTTCATATGTGGAGAATGAAGAGACTACATCCCAGGACCACACTCCCATCGGCTCGCTAGGGCCCAAGACTTCTACGTCGTCTGACAGTACCAGACACAGTGAGGATACCGAGAGAGTTACTTCTTCAGGTGAGCCACTGGTAACATGAGCCAACACCTTATCCTCCCAAGAGAACATTGGCTCTCTAATTTAATTCAAATCGTAGTTAAAGTGACCCTGAGATTGAACCGAAACTTTGTTATGTATTGTAAGGATTCCTCCAGGCCTAGGAAAATGGGAAGCAACTAAGTTCGATCTAAGGAAGGGGAGGTCAGATCCAATTCCTTGGTTTAAGAGCTTCTCACCGATGTCATGGAGCTTCCCTTGAGGGCTGACTTAAGACGCAGGATTCGTATAGGCTTAAAGGAAAATACAATACAAGCTGTTTAGCTATTGTAAATTGGATGAAAAATGTCATTTGAATGTCACAGCTCCGAATATTCTCGGAGCTGGACTTATACCGTCTAAATACTTAAGAGTGACAAACAGACTCTAATCTAAATTTTAATATTCCCCAGTTATTATTAATTCCTTAAAATGAACACACCGTACTCACTAAAGAGTAACAAGTAATGTTATTTTCACTGGACAGGGTCAGCAGAGACAGGAGAGACAAGAATCAACTATTACCCCAATTGTGATCCATGCATTTGGATTCGCTCGTGCACCACCGAGGTCACTCAGCCTCTCTCCGGCGTCAAGACAGGTTGGTTATGTTAGACATTACATTCAAATATTACTTATTTAGGATCTGTAGATGGCACGACACAGCATTTCAGCTTTACTGAGTCTCTTTGACTACAACAGAATCTACAAAGATATGTTTTCCTTGACAGGTGTGATCCCAACCTGGCTTCGAGGCGCTCTCTTACGCAACGGTCCTGGGCGCATCCAGGTGGGAGAGTATCAATATAACCACGTCTTCGACGGCTCGGCACTGCTACACAGGTAATCTGTTCTACAAGTTAATTTACTCTCCAGTTTTTGATGTATTTGTGTACAGTTAATGTTTCTCTCTGGCGGCCAGTGGACCATTACACAGTAGTTTACCACTTTAAAAAAATTAGCGAATTTACGTATGCGGGGTAATTTGAACAAATTTCACCTAATTTCTTTGCTAAAATATCAAGTAAAAGTCACCAGTGTCGTAAATGGGCAAAAAAAAATTTAGCACTGTTATTTTATTTGTTAAAATGTTGTGTCTAAATTGAACCTGTGTTGTGTGTGAATGAATTTTTTCCTGACATAACCAAGTATATCAGTAGAAAACATCGCGCTCACATTACTTCTTGTGCTCAATGACCCACACGGGTTTACCGCTTAACTTAAATAAAACAGTTATATAGTATAACGTATACAGACGAAGCGAAGTGGCCAAATATTTTCCTCTCTATGAAAAAGCCAGCCTGCTCCCACTCGTTTAATTTTAGCGAGTTATATATTTGTAGATGAATGGTTCAGAGAACCGACATGTTGATAAATTAGACACATGTGCAACTCTTGGGTATCTTTATTGAGGAAACGTTTCGCCACACAGTGGCTTCATCAGTCCATACAAAGGAGAATCTTGAAGAACAGGAGGAAAATGAGGTAATCAGTCCCTCAACCTTGAGTCGATGTGGTCAGTCCATCAATCTTGAATATAATACGGCATACGTGCGGAGAAGGAGCTTATAAACCATTGGCAGGAGAGGTGCAGCAGTCATAGGTAGTGTCACATATGTTCAAAGTTGAGGGACTGATTACCTCATTCTCCTCCTGTTCTTCAAGATTCTCCTTTGTATGGACTGATGAAGCCACTGTGTGGCGAAACGTTTCCTCAGTAAAGATACCCAAGAGTTGCACATGTGTCTAATTTATCAACATGTCGGTTCTCTGAACCATTCATCTACAAACCTGTCAGACACTGCAACTTCTTGGGATCTTAATACTTGGGAATTCTTCGCTTGCCTAATTCTTGGGCACGACCTACTTCCACATTGAACAAATGTGACACTACCTATGACTGCTGCACCTCTCCTGCCAACGGTTTATAAGCTCCTTCTCCGCACGTATGCCGTATTCTCGAGTTATATATTAACAAAGTGACAGTAGAGGTGTCGAGGAAGCGTCTTCAGGAGGTCCCTAATTACATTTCTGGATATGTGATAGATTTTAAAAATTACTCTTTTCCCAATTTTGGAATTTCACTGTTTTTTCACAGTGGTTATTCTCCATATATATATATATATATATATATATTATATATATATATATATAATATATATATATATATAATATATATATTATATATATATATATATATATAAATTATATTATATATATATATATAAAATATATATTATATATATATATATATATATATATATATATATATATATATATATATATATAATATATATAATATATTTATAATATATATATTTTATATATATATATATATATATATATATATATTATATATATATATATATATATATATATATATATATATATTATATATTTTCCAACAAGTCGGCCGTCTCCCACCGAGGCAGGGTGACCCAAAAAAGAAAGAAAATCCCCGAAAAGAAAATACTTTCATCATAATTCAACACTTTCACCACACTCACACATTATCACTGTTTTTGCAGAGGTGCTCAGAATACAACAGTTTAGAAGCATATACGTATAAAGATACACAACATATCCCTCCAAACTGCCAATATCCTGAACCCCTCCTTTAAAGTGCAGGCATTGTACTTCCCATTTCCAGGACTCAAGTCCGACTATATGAAAATAACCGGTTTCCCTGAACCCATTCAATAAATATTACCCTGCTCACACTCCAACAGATCGCCAGGTCCCAAGTACCATTCGTCTCCATTCACTCCTATCTAACACGCTCACGCACGCTTGCTGGAAGTCCAAGCCCCTCGCCCACAAAACCTCCTTTACCCCGTCTCTCCAACCCTTTCGAGGACGACCCCTACCCCGTCTTCCTTCCCCTATAGATTTATATGCTTTCCATGTCATTCTACTTTGATCCATTCTCTCTAAATGACCAAACCACCCCAACAACCCCTCTTCTGCCCTCTGACTAATACTTTTATTAACTCCACACCTTTTCCTAATTTTCACACTCCGAATTTTCTGCATAATATTTACACCACACATTGCCCTTAGACATGACATCTCCACTGCCTCCAACCGTCTCCTCGCTGCTGCATTTACCACCCAAGCTTCACATCCATATAAGAGTGTTGGTACTACTATACTTTCATACATTCCCTTCTTTGCCTCCATAGATAACGTTTTTTTGACTCCACATATACCTCAATGCACCACTCACCTTTTTTCCCTCATCAATTCTATGATTAACCTCATCCTTCATAAATCCATCCACCGACACGTCAACTCCCAAGTATCTGAAAACATTCACTTCTTCCATACTCCTCCCCAATTTGATATCCAATTTTTCTTTATCTAAATCATTTGATACCCTCATCACCTTACTCTTTTCTATGTTCACTTTCAACTTTCTACCTTTACACACATTCCCAAACTCATCCACTAACCTTTGCAATTTTCTTTAGAATCTCCCATAAGCACAGTATCATCAGCAAAGAGTAACTGTGTCAATTAAGATAAGATAAGATAAGATTTCGTTCGGATTTTTAACCCCGGAGGGTTAGCCACCCAGGATAACCAAGAAAAGTCAGTGCGTCATCGAGGACTGTCTAACTTATTTCCATTGGGGTCCTTAATCTTGTCCCCCAGGATGCGACCCACACCAGCGACTAACACCCAGGTACCTATTTGCTGCTAGTGAACAGGACAATAGGTTGAAGGAAACGTGTCGGAATTTCCACCCGCCGGAATCGAACCCGGGCCCTCGTGTGTGAATCGGGAGCTTTAGCCACCAGACCACCGGGCCCCATAATTTAATCCCACCCCTCTCCCCAACACCCTAGCATTTACTTCTTTTACAACCCCATCTATAAATATATTAAACAACCATGGTGACATTACACATCCCTGTCTAAGGGCCTACTTTTACCGGGAAGTATTTTCCCTCTCTTCTACACACCCTAACCTGAGCCTCACTATCCTCATAAAAACTCTTAACAGTATTTAGTAACTTACCACCTATTCCATATATATATATATATTATAAATATAATATATATATATATATATATATATATATATATATATATATATATATATATATTATGTCGTGCCGAAATAGGCAGAACTTGCGATCTTGGCTTAAATACAACGCTCATCTTGCCATATAGGACAAGTGAAAATTTGTGTATGCAATAATTTCGCCAAAATCATTCTGAACCTAACAAAAAAAAATATATTTCACTGTGTTTATTTAGTATTAAATTACTGTAAACAAAATCTAAAATATATTTAGTTGGGTTAGGCTAAATAAATTGCGCTTGTTTAATAAGGTTAGGTAAGTTTTCTAAGTTCCTTTTCTTGCAAAATTATATTTTTTTACACTAACATTAATGAAAAAAATATATCTTTAAACGTAAAAGAGAAAATTTTAGAAAGGGCTTAATTTTAAATGAGTTCTTGCTAATTGACCAGTTTTGCATATTCGACACGACATATATATATATATATATATATATATATATATATATATATATATATATATATATATATATATATAAATATATAATATATATATATATATATATTATAATATTATATATATTATATATATATATATATAATATATGCGACTAGCCAAGGACTCGAACCCATGTTGTTTTGGCCCATCTCATGGTGAGCGAAAACCTCATGACACACTAACCCACAGGACCTACCCGTCGTATAACGATTTATTGATGATTTTTAATGTTTCATAGTGACTCTCAGATTTAGTTTTAAAGCAATGTGTTTTGTTTATTTTGTTTAGATTATAGTGTAAGCGACATCAATAACGCAGCTGTTTACCTGGAGTTTACCTGGAGAGAGTTTCGGGGGTCAACGCCCCCGCGGCCCGGTCTGTGACCAGGCCTCCTGGTGGATCAGCGCCTGATCAACCAGGCTGTTGCTGCTGGCTGCACGCAAACCAACGTACGAGCCACAGCCCGGCTGATCAGGAACTGCTTTTAGGTGCTTGTCCAGTGCCAGCTTGAAGACTGCCAGGGGTCTGTTGGTAACCCCCCTTATGTGTGCGGGGAGGCAGTTGAACAGTCTCGGCCCCTTTGACACTTATTGATGGTCCCTTAACGTGCTAGTGTCCCCCTGTTTTTCCCTTTGGGGGGGTAGGGGGGGCCATCGTTCCCAAAAGTCTTTTGCTTTCGTAGTGAGTGATTTTCGTGTGAATTTTCGGTACTAGCCCCCTCTAGGATTTTCCAGGTGTATATAATAAATGTATCCCCCCCCTCCGGGGTTTTCCGGGGAAATACAGGTTTAGAAATCCCCCCCCCCTAAAGGCCCCCGGGTAATTAGGTGTTTTATCCCGTTATGCGCGCCGTGAAAGTTCTCTTACATTTTCTAGGTCGGAAATTTCACCTCCCCTTGAAAGGTGCTTTTTAGAGTGCGCAATTTCCAAAGCGGGATAAAAACAAGGGGTTTTGGGCCTCTTTATTTCCCTTCTTTTTTGGGCTTGCCCCCCTTGGGGTTTTAAAGGGGTTCCCCCAAAAAACCCCCATCCTGTACCCGCGGGGGATCCCCGAGATAAAGTTTTTTTTAGGGGGAATCCAGAAAAAATTTAAATTTTTCCAAGGTTGTGAGGGGCCCGATTTTTAAAATTTTGCCCCCGAAAAAATTTTAAAGTTTTTTTTAATTTAAAAAGGGGCGAGTTTTTAATTTTATTTAGGACTTTTTCAAAAAAATTTTAAATTGGAAAAAAGGGCCGAATAGTTTAAATTTTTTGGCCCCCCTGCCCCCTTGTTGATTTAAAAAAAGAAATTTTTGGTAATTAAAAAGGGCGTTTTCCC